CGGGAAAAGCACCGAAGAACTCGGCTGGACTCTCTGAGTGCCCCAGGATCTTACACACGGCCTCGCAGGAGTCCTCCTCCACATGGCCTCTGCTCTCCCTTCACCCTGAGCATCTCTGGACCCCACGGGAAGAGCATGATCGCTTTCCTCCAGTCTTGCTTAAATTTGTCTAAGGGGTCTGTGTAGAGCATCGAGAGCACAAGCCTGCAAGCCTGTGCCTGTCTATTCTTGGGGCACCTCTCAGACCAGCTGGGGACAGTAAGGATGGGTAATCAGGGTTGGCTACTTGGAGGAAGTCAGTCCTGCAGAAGGAGGCAGAAGCTCTTCTGAGAGGGAAGAACAGTGTGAGCAAAGATTCTGAGGTAGGCAGGAAGGCCAAACCAAGCAGGATAAGAGGATCAGAACAGGCTGGGGTCACACCACCATGAAGGTTGTTTAGTGGGTGGTTAACAGTGAAGGTCTGGAGGCAGATTGCCTGAGTGTAAATCTGCCATTAGCTTACATGTGACCTTGGGAAAGTTACTTAACTGTGCTTCTGGGTAAATGGGGATAAGTTGATGATGTTAGTGTTTCTATTTTAGGATTCTTGTGAGGATTAGGTAAGTTAATGTATGTAAAGTACATGGAACAATGCCTGGCACATTATAAATAGTCAGAAAATGCCAACTATTGTTATCATCATCAGAGATTTTTTAAACAAAACTCATGACAACATGGGCATCACCTGACTTGAAGCCTTCAGGAAATAAGGGGGTTCTGCATGCTGTATCCAGACTTTGAAAAGTCTCATGGAAATCCTGTTTTTATCCTAGAGAAAACTGGCTGTTCAGGCTGTAGCTTCCCCAACTCAGGGACTGTGCAGGAGAAATATTAGGAAAAGCCACTTGACAGAGAAGAAATAATGAGACATGCTAGGGGATAGGGAGGGGTAAAAGAAAGAAATTGTATACTTTGAAAGCTGCCTAAAGTTTAGGCAGCCCAAGAACAAGAGGAGGGAAAATGTTCCCATAGGAGACAAGTTAGAATAAAGGCTCAGGAATAGGAAAACTTTATTTGGGCACAGTGAGGAGTTTCCCAAAATCAATTCCTTGACCCTGAGATCTCAGATACATACCTAGAGGCATCACACATATCCCTGAGAGCTTATACCCTAGAAACTGGGCTTTCATGCTTTTGTCCTAGCAAAGGTTAACAGGCAACTGTCAGCAACTAGGATTTGCTGTAACTCAAGGTAGGTCTCTGGAGGGGCTGACTCTTGGGGAAGCTACATGATGGGACCTGGTATGCCTGGCTGAGCAGTTCTGCTACTCTGGAGCAAGAGGCCAGGGCTTTTCAGTCCTGCCTTCCAGAGTGACCCCTGTGCTATAAGGAGATCAGGGAATTGTGACAGCAGATGGTAGCCCTGTCTCAATCCACTTGAAAGTCTTGATATCACCACATCCCCAGAGCAACCCCTGGAATATTTTGACTAGGCAACCTGGATTTAAATTTTGACTGTCACAGTCAAGCCAGATGACAAGGAAATTCATTAAACTCACTGAGTTTCAGTTTATTTATCTACAAATGAGGGAGTAACTGTTTATTGAGCATCTGCTTTGTAGGAGATACTGTGTATACTTTGGTGAACATGCCAGGTGAGTCCTCATGAAGAAACAGGAAAAAACATTAAACACTGCCAAATCATTGTTTAATAATAGCTGTGAGGGGTGCTGTTAAGTTAGGAAAAGTATGATATGCAATGAGGATGTAACAGAGGAGACCAAACCAGTTAATTCTAGAGGGGCAGGGGCAGCATTCCTTTAGGAAAGAATTTTAAACTGAGACCTAGAAGGCAAGAAGGACTTAGACAAATGAGGAGGTAGAGGTGTGTGCTTGTCGAGGCAGAGGAAACAGTTCATACAAAGGCCCTTGCATGAAGGAGCTTGTGTGTTGGCACACTGAAAGCAAGCCAGGTTGAAGGGGACTGATCCAGGGGTGGTGTGGTACGCGGTGAGGCTGAGAGATGTAGACAGGGGTAAGGCCCTGTATCCATGACCAAGAAAAGATTCTAGACTTATTGAAGGGTAGTGAGACATCACTGATAGATTTTTAAGGAGGAAAAACACGATTTTTGTAAAGCTCGCATGCGGTGGTGTGGAGACTAGGTTGGGGGGGAGATGGTAGTGAGGAGAAGGGGATGGAAGCTCTTGCAGTTAAGGCAAGAGATGGAGCAGAGTGGGAATAGAGATGGGGAGCAGCTGTGCTGAATGATGTTGGTTACGACTTGGTGACCAGTTAGATGTGGGGAGACAGCGGGTAGGATGGGAACAGCTCTGAGTGCCGGGGCATGCATTTGCTGAGGACAGCCTTGGAGGAGGGAAAGAGAGAGGGACGTGTTATCCACATGGAGGTGGTAGGTGGCAGATGTACAAGTGTATAGCTCAGTGGAGGAGACTGAAAGAGAGGACTGAACATTTGGGAATTGGTAACATGGAGTTGGTACATAGAGATGTGGACCTAGATGAGATCTTCCTGAGAGAGAGGGTGCATAGTGAGGAGAGAGGAGGAGCAGCTTCAAGCCTGAACTTTGCTTCCACATTTAGAGGGCAGCAGAGGAGAGAGGACAGAGAAGGGAGTCTGGGAAGAATGGGCAGAGATAGAAGAGAAATAGAGAGGAATGCTTCAAAAACCAGGCAGTCATTACCACCTACATGTTCCTGACTCTCAAATATAGACTTTTGGGAGCCAAAAGCATGTAAGTAGGAATAAAGTTAAGTATTTATTGAGCCCCTGCTAAGTACAGGCATTTTTCTAGGTGCTAGCCATTGAATAAGACAGTCCTTCCTTCCCTCATCTGGGAGTTTACATTCTTGGCTGGGGAGGCAGGGGGCATTTGAGCAGAGCCCTGGAGGAGAAGAGGGACTGAGTCATGTGGGTATCTGGAAGAAGCTGGGCTGCAAGTCTGAGGAACAGCAGGGAGATTGGTGTGGTAACAGTGGGGCGAGTGAGGTTGGAGAGGTAGGCAAAGGCCAGCTGTTGCCGAGCTCTACAGGCCTTGGGAAGGATAGCCTATGCAGATGGCCCCACATGTTGGAAGGGCAGGGGTTAGGCAGGAAGGGAGAAGTCATGAAAGACTTCCTTCTATCTGGGCCCCAGAGCCAGAAAAATCCCTTTGTGCAGAGGGGTGGGTGGCCCATTCTGGGTGGGGGAAGGGCTGAATTCAGTTCTGAGGCCTACTTGTGGGGGGGAGGGGGACTGTACAATGGGCCCCTTGTAGTGAACTTGGGGTCTAACTGACCCTTTCAATGATGGATTCCTCAATTAGGAGGCATGTGATCTCAAGACCCGGCTTCTTGCCAGAGGGTCTGGGCCTGCTACTAGGGAATGGTGTGGGGAGGTGGGGAGAGGTCAGAAGAGGTAGGAGGAACTCCACTCAGGAGACAGTCTCCTGAGAAAATGCCCTGCCCTGACTCAGACTAGAGGAGGTGGAGAGATGGGCAGGGAGGGGTTCTGACTCTGCTTGTGGAAGCAGGGAAAGACTAGAGGGCCGAAAGCTATGGGTAACATCAACAAATGGTTTCTACAGCAGGCCAGGAGGGCGGAGCTGGCCTAGTGGAAAGGGGCAGGCAGAAGAGGGCCTGACAACCCTACGTCTTGTGTCCCTTCAGAAGAGGAGAGAACATGGAGCTGGAGAGGATTGTCAGTGCAGCCCTCCTTGCCTTTGTCCAGGCGCACCTCCCAGAGGCTGACCTCAGGTAGAAGCCGCTCTTCCAGAAGGATCATGCCAGGGCCAGGGTTGGAGCTGCTGCGCAGCACTCTGCACCCTGACCAATGGAAAGATTGAGATGGAAAGCGCTCAACCCTACTCCTGAGGTTGGGGAGGGCTGATGATGTTTTATTGGTATGGCCTTATCCTGTCTCTGTCACCTTGTACAGATGGGAAAAAGCTGAGGGAGGGTGGGCTACACTCTGGCCTTGAGGTCTGGCTATAGACCCTATGAAGCTGAGGGCTGTTTCAGGCTAAGTGGGAGTGTCGGCGGTATCCAATGTCCTACCTAGAGCTTTACCTGTTCTCTTCCTGCAGTGGTTTGGATGAGGTCATCTTCTCCTATGTGCTTGGGGTCCTAGAGGACTTGGGCCCATCAGGCCCATCAGAGGAGAACTTTGATATGGAGGCCTTCACTGAGATGATGGAAGCCTATGTGCCTGGCTTTGCGCACATCCCAAGGTAGGGCCTGGTTCAGGCCAAGAGAAGGAGGAAGCTGGCTGATTATGGAAGGGGGCACAGTTGTCCCTCACCACCCTCCTTGTCTTTTCAGGGGCACAATAGGGGACATGATGCAGAAGCTCTCAGGGCAGCTGAGTGGTGCCAGAAACAAAGGTGAGTCTAGGGGTCAACATTTGGGTTACTCAACCCCAAACCCCCAAGCCTTTGGCAAACCTGATACTCTCTCTGCCTCTTTAAGAGAACATGCAACCACAGAGCTCGGAGGTCCAAGGTCAGGTGCCCATCTCCCCAGATCCCCTGCAGCGGCCTGAAAAACTTAAAGAAGAGACTAGGTCTTCTGTTGCTGCTGGGAACACCCAAGATGAGGTACTGCTAGAGGGTACTGATGAGGAAGCTAGGGGGCACCTAGGGGAAAGGAGGAAATTCTGCCTCTTGTCAACATTTATACCTACAGGCAGCCGGCGCTGAGGAGGAGCTACTGCCAGGGGTGGATGTACTCCTGGAGGTCTTCCCTACCTGTTCAGTGGAGCAGGCTCAGTGGGTGCTGGCCAAAGCTCGGGGGGACTTGGAAGAAGCTGTGCAGATGATCGTAGAGGGGAAGGAGGAGGGGCCTCCAGCCTGGGATGGCCCAAACCAGGTATCCTCTGCCAGGGGTCCCCCAGCCCATGTAGCCTCCTCTACATTCCACCTTAGTGTTAAGCCCCACCCCTAGCCCCATCAACTTCTAGTGTCATGGGTCTGAGCAGGCTTCCTTTCTCTGCAGGACCTGCCCCGGCGCCTCAGAGGCCCCCAAAAGGATGAGTTGAAGTCCTTCATCTTGCAGAAGTGAGGCTGAGCTGGGCTGGGGTGGGCCCTATTGAGGGGCTTCCCAAGGGTGGCATGAGCTTCACCCAGCCGGTTTTTGGCAGGTACATGATGGTGGATAGTGCAGAGGATCAGAAGATTCACCGGCCCATGGCTCCCAAGGAGGTGAGAGGGTTGGGGCTGCTAGGGATGTGGAGTGAGTGGGACTGTCTCCTGGCTTTTACTACTTCCTGCCTTATTGCTTGACAGGCTCCGAAGAAGCTGATCCGTTACATTGACAACCAGGTGGTGAGCACCAAAGGGGAAAGATACAAAGATGTGCGGAACCCTGAGGCTGAGGAGATGAAGGCCACGTACATCAACCTCAAGCCAGCCAGAAAGTACCGCTTCCACTGAGGCATTCGCCGGACTCTGCCTGAGCCTCTCTAGGCTCAGATCCCAGAGGGATGCAGGAGCCCTGCACCCCACACAGGGCCCACCCAACTCCTTTCCTCCCTTCCCTACTACTTTCTCTACTTCCTTGCTCCAGTGTTAACCTCTTAGAGCTGCCCATGGGCATAGTAAAGGTGGCCCCAGGAAGGTGTGAGTGCATTCTGGTCATTTTTGCCTTACAGCTGGGGTGCTGGAGTGCTGGGGGAGGTACTGTGTCTGTCGTACCTCTCCCAACCTTGTCTCTCCTATCTCCAGAAGGGCAGAAGCGCCAGGCAAGAGGGGGTAAAAAGCTCTTTATTTGAAGCTCCAGGGTGGGGCCGGGCTTTGGCCTCTCTCCAGGGGCCCCCACAGTCCAGCTGTGCCCCACTGGAGGGTTGGTCAGACCTGCAGGTTGACAAAAGGTGCGAAGCCCACCATGTCTTGCAGCAGCACCAGGGCCTGGTGCAGTGGCGGCTCCACGTCGATGTCCACACCCCGCTTCCGCAAGCGGCTCAGGCTGGGCTCTGCCACATGGTGGCAGTGCCGCACCCGGAGGGAGCGCAGCGTCGGGCAGTACTCTGCCAATGTCCTGGGGTGGGAGGAGGAGGTGTGGGGAGGAAGGAGCTGGGTAAGGTAAAGGGCAGGGAGGAAGCCACTATACCCACAGTGGGGGAGCCAGAAAGCCCTTCTCCCTCCACGTCGGGCATCCTTTTTCCCTCCATTCATGAGGGAAGCAGCCTGGACTAGGGTCTTAAACAACGCCGGCAGTAAACTGAAACTTCCTTTCTTTTAATGGGGGAATCTGCGCTTCAGCATCGCCCAAGATTGCAAAGTTTTACCCATGTTGAAGAAAAGCCAGAAATCTAATTTGGGATGTGACGTCTCCCAATGTGTAAATACTGACTCAGGAAAGTTTTTAAACTGTAATTTCTGCTTAGGCAATCTAGATGCTTTTCCTGTTCAGAATGGGGGTGCCAAGGCAGAGGAAACATTCAGAAACCCCAGTTTTGCCTTTTGACTACTTCAGTCCCCTCCCAGCCCCAGAGGCTAAAAAAGTGGCTGCCCTCCTCTCAGACCACAGACCCAAGGCCCAGGCACCTGACGCCGTCGCTTCCCACGCGGAGGCAGCCGGTTAGGTCGAGATGCTGGAGTTTCGGGCAGTTCCGAGCCAACTCCTGGACCGCGGCATCCCCCACATTGGCGTTGACCGCCAGCGAGAGGCTACGGAGGCCAGCGCCGCGCCTCTGCGCCAGGTACACGATGGCCTCATCCTTGAGCTGACGGCAGGCGGTGAGGTCCAGCTCTTCGAGGGCTGGGCAGCGGTCCGCGAGGCCGCGCAGCGCCAACCCGTCTACCCAGTCACAGTGCGCGAGCGACAGGCGCTGCAGGCGGGGGCAGCCCTCGGCCAGCGCCCCCAGCGCGCGGCGACTCAGTTGCCCGCAGCCGGCCAGCGCCACGCTCCGCAGCTGCGGATTCCGCGCCAGGACCGGCACCAGATCCTCGTCCGCCAGCCACTCGTGACACGGCGCCAGCGCCAGCTCCTGCAGCCCCTCGGCGTCCCGCAGCAGCCAGGCCAAGGCGGCCCGCGGGATCTGCGGCCCCACCTGCGGGCGGGGAAGCGCCTGGACCCTCAGCGTGTCCCGGGAGCCCGGCGGGCGCTGCCCACCCGCGCCGAGGCGTTCTTTCCCGGCAGCAGCCCACCCTCGGGACTTGCCACCCGCCCTCCCAGGAGAGACCCCCGAGCCCTCGGAGTCCGCACGGTGCTCGTCTGGGGAGTCCCCCGGCGGGAGGGGACGCTCGCCCGGCGTTCCGGGAGGCCCGGGGGAGTCCGGAAGGGCAGACGGACCGAGGGGGCGGGCAGAAGGCGGGGCGGGGGCAGGACGCCCGCGGGGGCGGGCCGCATTCCCCCTCTTCCCCGCTCACCTGAGCCGCGTCGAAGCGGCGCAGCCCGGCCAGGTGCAGCTGCACTAGCGCCCGGAAGGCCCGGCTGACGCGCTGCAGCCGGAGCAGCTGGCGCAGCGGGACCCGGCTCAGGACGTGTGGGAGCAGCACGTCTTCCCAGGGCAGGTCCAGGAGCCTGCGAGTAAAGGGACGGTTGCGACGGCGTCCCAGGGCCGCTTTTACCTGCGAGTTCGTATCCGTTATGCTCCTGTGCCCCGGCTTCCAAGAGTGGCCCCCAGACCCGGTCCGGGTTCAGCTCCCCTCCCTCAGGCCCTTCTTCCTTTTCTCTGTCCCTCCGGTGCTCGGTACCTGACGGCTCTCGGCTCTTGCTCCCCTCCGGACGGCTCCATCGGTGGCTCCATCGGCTGTCTACTGCGCGTGCGCAGGAAGGACTCGTTTTGGCCTGGCAGCGGCCGCGGCTAACCCGCCTCCTTGGGCTGTAGAGACAGGCGGGTTCAATCGAGTGCCGTCTTACGGAGGCGCCTCTCGGAAAGTGTTCGGGATGGATCCCGAGACTGAGGCAGAACAGACCGGGGTGGGGGTAACATCAGAGCGCGCCTTCTTGGCTACTGGGCTTGAGATCCCAGGCTGGAGAATGCGACGGGCTACGGACTGGCTTCCTTTTTCCTCTTGCGACAGTGGCCGCCGCTGAGTGAAGCGACGCTGGGAGGAGCAGACTAGGCCCAACGCAGAAGGGGCGGGGCCAGGACGCCCTGGTTCTGGACACACTCTGCCCTCGGGTCGCGTTTAGCGGCTTTGAAAAATGGAGAGAAACTGCCCAGGATCTTACTGTCTGGCACTTAGTCGGTGTCTAATAAATGTTGAATGGGGTGACTCAATGAATGAATGAATGAATGGGCAAGGCTAGAATTTTTCTTCATCAAACAAACATCCCCAAACCTCACGGTTGTGGAGTACAGAGCAGTGCAGCCCCTTCCACTCCCGGACGATTTGGGGCAGGTTTATACCTGGGAGTGGGGGTGGGGGGCAGAGACATAGGGATTGCTAAGGAGGACTATATTTCCAGCCAGTTCCCTTTCTTTTTCCCACCAGGTATACAGTCCTAAGAATGAGTGCTCAGAAGTACCAAGAGTACTTTTTGGTTGGCCTGGGGGGGTAGTTGTTGGGTCTGCGGTTTAGCTCACCCTGGAGGCAGTGACGCCTCAGAACTCTGGGCATAGTTCTGGGCCTCCCTCTCCCCGCTTCCTCAGGCCCTAGTTCCAGGTCAGCTCTGGGAACCCCCTGGAGCAGTGCTTTCTTTTCCCATCAAAAATTGGTGGGGTGAGGGTGTGAAGGACGCTGAGGGTGACTGCAGTCGCTGAGAGCTGCCCCCTCGACCACCAGCATGGTTGCGCTCTACTTTCGTGCCACCGCTTCACTGGTCACTTTATAATTGGCTACTTCTCCCCCATTATATCATCTGATCTTCGGACACCTCTGGTGGGCTGGTCTGTGCTGTCCCTCCACTTTAAATATGAAACCGAGGCCCTGGAATAGGGAGCGCTCAGTCCACAAGCGAGTCAGGGATAAAGAACCCAAACATCCTGGGCCTCCCTGGTGGTGCAAGGGGTTAAGCACCGCACTATGAAGCAATCCACAGCCTCTGCAGCACGAGTTCGATCCCTGCACGAGTTCGATCCCTGGCCCGCCAGGGAGCAACCCACATGGCGCAGCAGACCTCTCCTGTCTTGCCTGCTGCTTCCCTCAGCAGTGCATTTCGGTCAGTCTGCCTGTTCTGTTCCCCACTCTGTCTCTGGTGAATCCACTCACCTCCCAGACCTCTGGCCTGTACCCCAGCTCTCGTATGCATAAATAAATAAAGCAAAAAAGAACTCAAGCATCCAGATTTTCCCAGAATTCCTTCCCCGGCTCCCTCCCCACCCCCAATATAGCCAGAAGGGTGACGCCAGCAGCGAGGACCAGAAAAGGATTAACCTGGGTGAGGGACTTACTCCCCAGGCGGATTGGGGTGGGGGTAGCTGGGACAACGCACCTCTATTAACATAGAGTCTCGCCGGCGCGCACCACCTCCGGCCGCGCGGCTCCTTCCCCTCCCCGCTTTGTTTGCGCCTCTGCGCCTGCGCAGTGCGACAAACCTGGCGCTGTCCCCTTCAGCACCACGCGGAGCCCGCGCCGCCCCTCGCCGCGGTGAGCCCCGCGCGCCCCCGCCTGACACGTCCTCGCACCCCCTGATAGCCCAACAGACCCCTTCTTCCTCCCGAGGTCACGGCCTGACAGTCCTGGCCTTCCCTAAGGGAGAGGTTGTCATAGTAACTCTAGTGGCGCTGTCTTAAAATAGCTGGGCCCCCTTCTACCTTGGCCAAGGGCACAGGGTTGCCGGGTTCTTGTTTCCTCCAGCTCCCTCATTATCCCGTCTAGCCTCTTATCCCCAGATAGACTGGACATCAACTCAGGAGCGAGGAAGTTCTTCCTGAAGCCTGACTAACATCCCTCCTGCTGCACCCTGGGTGGGTGGTCAGGGTTGGGTCTCCTGTGTCTTCTGGGTCTGAGACTCAGAATTCCGGAAGGTTGGGGCCGGTGTTCCCTAGATCTCTCGTCCATAACCTAACGGTCTCCTAAATTTAGGGGGCGGGTCCAGTCTACACCCAAACCGTGCTGGTTGGCGCGGCCGCGTGCTCGTGGGGGCGGGAGCGCGTGTGGCATGTAACAGGTCATGTGGCAGCCTCCTAGGGACACGCGTAGGGTCTGGAGCGGGACACGCGTGTGCAGCTGGGTCCTGCGTTGTGGCTCAGGGGCCAGTGGACGAGAAGGACGTGGACATGATTGGGGTGGGGCAAATGATGTTCTGAGGCTCCTAAACGTCCTCCCCCTCGTCAGGGGCGGGTCTCAGGTTGGCGGGAGAGCCCAGCGGAGATCTTGTGTGTATTGGGGGGACAGCTTCTGGGGCTCAGGGCTCGGGGAGAGGGCGGGGCGGGGCTGGGTAGGGTGGGGTGGGTGGGGGGATTAGCTCTGCTTGAGCGGCGCGTAGGGGTGAGGAGGCGGGACTGAGAAGCGGGCGGGCCTGGAGCAAGCGGGAGCAAGCGGGGAGCCGCGCTACCTTCACAGCTGAACTGGGCCCAGCCTCTCCCAGCCTCTCCTCGGCCCCAGCTCCAGGCGAGCAGCGGTGAGTACCGAGGCGACTCCAGGCTGGGCTGCACTGGTGATGCGCTGGGTGGCCCATTGAGCTTCAGGAACCTGCCTGGCAGGGCTGCTGCTCCTGACCTCTGCCCCTACCCTGCATTGCCACCAGAGGCTCCATTATCCCTCTGTGGCCCCTTCTGGGCTGGACAAGATCTATTCTACTCCTTGGAAGGAGGGTGGGAGAGAGGTGTGATGCAACCTTCCCCCTCCAGATATCGGTGACTGGTGGGGGCAGGGGAGAGGGTGTGTATCCCTGCCTAAGTATCTGTGTGTGTCCATCTGTATTTGTGTGATTGTGACTAGCAGGTTTCTGTGTCTGATATATCTGTGTCTCCTGTGTGCCCTGGAGAATGAGAACCAGTGAAATATTTGGGTATTTCTTTGTGTGTTCTTGTTTGATGACTATGTGTGTGTAAAACAAGCATGTGCCTTTCCATTACATGAATATTTGTTATGACTGTAAGAGTGTGTATGAGGGTGTGTCTTTGAGCAATGTGTGTGTGTGTGCCTGTGTCTCTGTGTGCTAGAGGGTGTTGCTATGAACATGTTGCAGGGGGTACTGACATATTTGTTGCTATGTATGTGTGCATACATGAAATATGTATAGCTGCATGGAGAATAATAATGTCCTTTTCCCATTTGGCATGTGTGTGTTGGGGTTGGGGCCGCTGTTTAGGTCTTTCTCCTCCCCTCTACCCTATGCCTCTCAGCCCTCATCGTCCCTATATAACCTCCTTGCAAGCCCCTCAGACCGCCCCTTCTTCCTCCTTTTCCTTCCAGGAGTCCTGAGTTCTCTATCCCTGAGTGAGGGGCCTCCATGGAGAGTGTGTGTGGGAGGGGGCGTGGCTTTATGCTGGTGATGGCCGGCTGACATTCCTGGTCCAGAGGGGTGAGATAGGCCTTTCCCCACCCCTGCCAGAAGTAATTCCAAATGTTACAGGGACTCTGAGCTCACTCAACTTTTGGAATAGCTTCCCCTCTCCTCCCAGGGTGATATTCAGGGCTCCCCAGGGAGAAGGAGAGGAGCCAAGAGCCCACTGGGGAGACAATTCTTTTTTCCTTATGCCTTTATGGAAGTTGCCCAAGCAGAAGACCCGATCACCCCTGGGGGTGGAATCAGTGATCACATATTCCCATGGTGGCCTACGCCCCTGGTGCTCAGCCACCCCAGCCAGCTTTCCTCTCCCTGTTTCTGCTCTCCTGCCCATCCAAGTCCCCGGCAGTTCACCCCCTGCTCCCCTTCCTCTCTTGCAGGCCTGTCTGAAGAGCATGTTGCCCCCTCACTCCCCGCCTGGCCTCGCCATCCCTGCCCCCCCAGCCTGACCCCCGGCTCCAGCATGGCCCAGAGTGCCATGCGCTTCTGCTCAGAAGGCGACTGTGCCATCTCCCCGCCACGATGCCCGCGCCGCTGGCTCCCCGAAGGCCCAGTGCCCCAGAGCCCCCCTGCCAGCATGTATGGCAGTACAGGCTCCCTGCTACGGCGGGTGGCAGGTCCAGGTGCCCGAGCCCGGGAACTGGGACGTGTGACAGCACCCTGTACACCTCTGCGTGGACCCCCCTCACCTCATGTAGTTCCCTCACCCTGGGCACCCTCTTCACCCACTGGGAAGCCCCCACCAGGGGCTCGGAGCTCCGTGGTCATATTCCGCTTTGTGGAGAAGTCCAGTGTGAGGCCACTGAATGGGCTACCTGCTCCAGGAGGCTTGAGTCGGAGCTGGGACCTGGGTGGGGCCTCTCCTCCCAGGCCCACACCAGCCCTTGGGCCTGGCTCCAATCGGAAGTTGCGACTGGAGGCATCTACTTCAGACCCACTCCCAGCTGGAGGAGGTTCAGCTCTGCCTGGCAGCCAGGGCCTTCTACATGGGCCACCAGCCCAACCTCAGCCTGGAGCAGATGGCCTCTACTCCTCTCTCCCCAATGGGCTGGGGGCACCCTCTGAGCACCTGGCCACACTCTTCCGAGGACCTGCTGATACTGGACTCCCGAACCAGGTATGTGACCTTCCTTGGGCTCCCTGGAACTCCAGAGCCTCAGTGAAGAGGGAAGGCTTGGCCCATAGACCTGTGGGCTCTTTGTTCTGAATCTTTCAGTCTGTCCTAAATCTGTCTTCTCAACCTCTGTGTTTGTCCCTTTGTTTCTGCACCTCCATCTCTGCCCCTGAGTGTTTTTCTTTCTGTGTTTCTGTCCATGTTCTTGTATCCTTTTTGTCTGGCTGTATCTCTGGGTGCCTGTGTCTATGTCTCCCTCCTTGGCTTAGGGGGACACCTGGTCCTCCCCCCGGGAAGTCTCCTCTCATGCCCAGAGAATTGCTCGAGCCAAATGGGAATTCTTCTATGGCTCTTTGGACCCCCCCAGCTCAGGTAAGGCCTGGGGCTGGGGTGAGGGGAAGAGGGCAGGGTCTTCTCCACAGCATTGAGACTTGGCAGGGACCCTTCCTTTAAATCCTTTCCTGGATTTTCCCCAATCCTTTCCTGGGCTCCTGAGTTGGCTAATACCTTTCCAGGACTTAGTCTTTCCATTTGTTTTATGATGGGG